TATAAAACTTAGTATATATTGTGCTGAAAAGTTGGCAGTGAATAATCACTAATAGCCATCCACCCATATCATTCTTTTAAAAACTTGAGCTAGAAACTACCAATCTAGTCTGCTTAGCATAACCAATACTTAAGTATTTGCACGTTTTCACCCTATACCTTTGCTGCTCTAAGTCAGTCGTCTTTATCTGAATGAAAAAAAAACAACTAAAAATGGTCCATTTTACTCTTAGGTGAAGATGTAGTGAAAATGTTAGACCGATAGCTTACATGACTTTTTGCGTAGGTGTGTGCAAATGTTTTCCAAATTTGATAAGTTTTTTTGAATAACTTTGCACCTGTGACTTATATTTACAATAAATGAGACTCCTAATTGTAGGTTATAAAGATCTATCAGTGTACCAAAATTGAAAAAAATCCATAAAAGTTAGATATGCTTTTCTATCAAATAAAATGTCTGTACTTTTGGTGCTTAGAAAAATATAGGAAGAAACTCAATCAAAATTGGAGATGTCATATCTCAGGTATTTCTCAATGGATTGACTTGAAATTAGGTATCTGAAGAATGAGTCCAGTAGAACATATCCACTGAAAATATGTGATAGTATGGACTACCATAGTCCAAGATAGAGAATGTGGAAAATTGCTAAACTATCACTCCTGTTAATAACACACAGTGTGCCCTTTGGGTTGTTTTGTCCGCACGAAATGCTACCATTTGTCATGATCTCATAAAATTATTCTCTCGTTTTAGTAAAATCCTTTTTCAACCGTTATAAGTTTTCAATAGTTGTCTCTTTAACTCTCTCAACACAGGTTTGGTCGATTCGACCGACCTCTTTGTACTCGTATAGTCTTAGTAGATTCAATACTACTAACTTTTAATATAGCATGTATATCTTCGCAAAATTTGGCAGTCCTTCAGTAAACATTGTCTTTCACATACAAAAAAATCATATTTGTCTGTGAATATATTAAGCATTTGTTTTGAATAGTCCATGTGCAAAGTGATTTTCATGTTAAGAATAAAAATATTTTTCTTCATCTCAAAAATCTAAGATTTCATTCGTGTAATCTCTGAAACTTCATAAATACATGTCAAACGTTTGTTTTCAGTAAAACTATATATTTTATCTGTTACTTTCTCTACCCTAACATTATACATCACAGTCAATTTTACTGACCTCGTAACCTCCCACCCAAAAAAAATCAAAATAAAACTAAATTACCCCTTTCTAGAATGACTTCAAATTGTAGCATGGAACTACATTCGTTTATCCTAAGTACCTATACACTTGTAACAGTATACATCTGTTTATAATTAGATTTTATTGTTTTATTGCCTTTTGAACCTTGTCTAACTATTACTTGCACCATTATATATTGTAAATCCCTTGGAGAACATGGAGGTCACGTTACACTATCAAATTACTTTACACACCAGCTGCTTGCATGCGTGCCTCGTGAAATATTATTATTATTATATATTTTACCTAATCTAACCTTAACTAACCTAAAGAGATCCCTATTTTTACATTTTAGTTACTTTTATAATAATAAATAAATAATAAACATGAAAAATAAGAAATAAAGTACTCATCCAAATCTTTTTTTTCTTGCTGTCAATTGTCGATGACACTTAACCCTACTTTTTTTTTTGTACTAATGGTAGTAATGCACTAAATAATTTTAATTTAATTAAATAATGCACCAAAGAACAAATAATTATATCCAAAAAGTAGACAATTTCCCCTGACTACCACCCTCACAAAATCATTCTTTCCCATGGGAATGAAGCTTGTACCAAAAGTGAAATTGACAATTCTCCATTCACAAAACAATGTTATGTAATATGCATTTGATAGATAAAAACCTTGGCTTTCTATAGATAATATAGAATTAACCATAAGAGAAAACTATCAACAAATTCTGAAAGAGAGGATGTGACAGGTGGGTGTGGTAAGAGGAGTCTGATTTTCCATTTTATAGTTCTGAAACCAAACAGAATTGAATTGTGCAAATTATGGTTTGTCTAAGCAATGACAATTTTATAGTAAGTAATTTGCATTTTATTTTGTAGTTATTGGAGCGGTGGTGGATAAAATAGAGAAGAGGAGATGCCTAGAGAAAATGTGTCAGACTGGGGGAAATTCAGTATTTTTTAAAATATTGCCTCATAAAAGTAAGAACTTAAAACTTGTATACTAAAGATCTACACTATGATATTTCCTGGCATTTTGTAAGTGGTGTAATGCCACCAAAAACTGATTGCTTTTGATAATGATATTTAAAAGCTTTTACATGTGCAAATTATATGTACACTCAGATCATAAAAAATATGGTCAGATTGGGAACTTAGAGCTTGCAAGGTATCTCTTGTAATTAATGGAATTTGATCATCCTGAAAAAGACTACAACAAGTCATACCACAGCAATTACATATTCTCAGCTAAAACACCCGTATCTAAAAAGAAAATGCAAAAGCTTTTATATCTTTGGGTAATGCATTTTAATTATAATTCTGAGTGTCAATGTAGAGTTATTATTCTTCGTTTTCATTTCACTGTTAATGGCTGGAGATGGCTTGAATGGGTAATGAAGAAAAACTTTCATATAAGTTTAACATAACAGCAAATGTACAACGTTTCGACAAGGTTTTGTACCTGATGATGACAAAACCTTGTCGAAACGTTGTACATTTGCT